AGGTGGATTCTCCTTAAGATTAGCAAGATCTGCCAGGCATGGTGGCTCACATCTGTAATCCCAGCAGCTAAGGAGGATGAGGCAGTAGGATTGCAAGTTCAAAGCCAGTCTCAGGAACTTAGTGAAGCCCAGAGCAACTTAGTGAGGCCCTGAATCAAAATAAAATATATATTAAAAAAAAAAAAAGGTTGGAGATGTGGTTTGGTGGTTAAGTGCCCCTGGGTTCAACCCCAAGTACCAAAAAAAAAAAAAAAAAAAAAAAAAAAAAAAAAAAAAAAGATTTAGCAAGAACTGGTAACACTGGGCCTCAAGGATAGCACTTGAGATGGGTGGTAGCTACTCCCTGTAGATTGTCACGGTGTCACGGCACTTAGTTTTCTAACACGGAGGCCTAATGTCAATTGCCATTTGTTATGGTAGCATGCACGGATTTTTCCCTTAGAGAAGAGAAAAAATTCTCTATCAACAACGGGGGAAAGAAAGACCAAGATTATCTTATGTTTCCAAAAAAAATAAATAAATTGATTTTAAAAGGCAGCCCACAACATTTTTGTGAAAAAGAACATTCCTCTCAGTTTCTTCTGTGATCTCTCACCCTCCCTCCCATGCTACCTGCCTGACCTCTGGGGCATTTAAGGTTTGGATCCCTGGGCTATAACCCTTTAGGACCAAATTTCTTATTTTAAGTCAGTAAATAAATTTTAAAATCAAACCACTGGAAAAGAACACAGCTTAAGTACACAGTATCCTATTCTCCCCTAAATATTTTGGTTCCTTCATCTCACCTTTCCTGAGACAGGATCCTTCCTCAGCCACTAAAAGGGCAAGCTCCACCCCTTACACATGATCCCTTTCAAATAAACAGGATTCCTTTTCTCCACTGAAACTGCAGCTCTATCTAGTAGGGTAGGAAAAGGGCCCCTAGGGTACGCATTCCCCATCTTTCCTACCAGTCCACCAGCACCACACCATCCCTGCCCCCAAAGAACATGCTTAGAATGCAGCCATCCCTAAAGGGGGAGGGGGGCAGGACATAATCACAAAGAACCCAAGTCAATTCCCAGTGAATGTTTCTGGTTCAGCCATTTCTAATCAGGGAGCACAGAAGGATCACCTAGGACCCCAGCCAGAGCAATATTAATATCCTCTTCCTCGGGTGACACCCATGCAGACTACCTGGTACTGATCCATCCTGAGGTGTTTTAATCAATGAACTGGAAAACTGTGACCCCTTGATACCTGGACAGCCAGGTAGACACACCTCTCTAGTCAAGAAAGGCTAGAACTGTAATTTCCTGTAGGATGGCCACTAGCTGATGTGACCATGAAGCCCCTGAAACGTGGCTAGTGTGATTGAGATGTACTGATAGATAAGAGAACCATTGGATTTTGAAGTCATGGCACTAAAAGAAAAGGGGGGGGGGAGATATTTCGTTGATATTTTTATATCGATCACATATTGTAATAATTCTATTTTTGATATATTGGATTAATGAAAACATGTTAAAATTAATTTTGCCTGTTTCTTTCTACTTTTTAATGTGGCTTCTAGAAGATCTTAAATTACACATGTAATTTGTATCTTATTTCTATTGCATAGCCAGGCTCAAGAGACATTCATCATTCTTGTGTAGGCATTACTGCCATTGTGGAAAAGGTGACGATACAGGCCAAGCTGGTCTCCACCTACCTACTGTGTGATGCTGAACAAGTTTTCAGTCTTTCTRATGCTCAGTTTCCTCCCCTCTATATGGGCATGATAATATCCAGCCCACAGGGCTGCCAGTGAGAGCAAATAAAAGAAATGTAGGTAGAAACACCTACCATGCGTCCTCTCACAGGTGCTACTCAACACCTGCATGCTGCCACTCTTCTTCCTTTCTGACTTTTTTAAGGATGCAAAATTTGAACCCATAACTTCTTGGTATCAAATTTACTAACAATAATACCCAGATCTGTCCAGTGCTCATAGGTAGCCGAGTGGTTTTCCATCTTCAAGGTAATAGAAATCACCAGGGACGCTCATCCCACTCCAAGATTCTGACTGTCCCTTTGGTGTGGGTTCCTGCACTTGCCTTACTCACAAGCACTTCACAGCACCTCATGGCTGTGGTCTGGGAGTCACCGTGAGAAACACTAACACCGCTAAAGGAACCATGAATAACATCATCAGGATCACCTCAGGCATCCCCCAAACCACAAAAAGACAGGCCAGCCGGAACAAGGAGATGTGGCCCATGCAGAGCCCAGGAATGGATCACAGGCCTTCCCCTAGCAGAAGGCTGACTTCCTGGGATCTTTTAAACCTACATAGACTAGGAAAGACCTTCTGTCCTGGACATTGTTTCAAACACCAGAAGGCAGCCAACCCTTCCTGCCCTCACACAAGTCCCCTTAACATGGCCAAAAAAATATGGATATGGGGTCCGGGATGTGGCTCAGTGGCACAGCACTTGCTTAGCATGTCTGAAGCTCTAGGTTCAATCCTAGTGCTGAAGAAAGAAGAAATGGGCAATTTCAAGGCAACCAATATGTTGGCAGTTGGCCTAAAGAGGCTGGGCTGCTTGGCACTCTCACCAGCAACACATGAGAAGGTCCAGGGTAAGTCTTCTTCCTACCCTTGCCATGAGCCAGTGGCACCAAGTCTCCATGGAACTTTCTGGATGCCKCTCTTTTGCAGAAACACTACTCCTGCTCTCCAGGAGCCAAGAGAAAGGGCTCTGTGCAGAGACCCAGCAGCTTGGGCCTTCAGCCTCTCAAAGGAATCACCCCATGGATGAAGGCTGGATAGGCAGTGTGCCCTGGTCAGGTGGACAGCAGGAGGCAGGTGGGCAGAAGAAAGCACTCTTTTTATCTACGCCGAACAATCACTGCTCCTTCCCATGATTCAGAAATGCTCTGTAGGCTAAAGCACCCCCATCTCAAGCCAGTACAAAAGAGCAATTTCTTAGAGAACAAAAATTAAAGTGCCCTTCCCCAAGCACATTTCTGTCAGAAAAAAAAAAAAAATGTGGTCTAGAAACACAAGCTTTTCTTCCTTTTAGAGCAAATTCTTTTCTAAGTATGGGGGGGCGGGGAAGAATATGAGTGAATTCCCCCTACTAAATCCAAACTGCCTGAAATTATTTTTGAAAATAGGAAATAAAGCAAATAAGTACTAACTTCTGAGAGTTCTGACGTTTCTGTATTTTTAATGTAGGGGACTGATCTGGGGTTTGTTCAGAAGGCAGCAATACAAACTACATGCTGATTCCAGCACATCGGCTCTGGGCCCCCACACCGAACACTGCCCCCAATCACCAGCCTTCTGGTGTCAGCTTCTTATATTCTACTGTCCCACCATCAGCCTCTGAGTCCCAGAGAGAGCCTCTGCGGGAACCAGGACCTAACCAGGTCTTTACATAGCCCAGTCTCCATGTGGTAGCCACACAAGCAAGCAGTTCAGCCCAAACTTCAGGTCATTCTAAAATGTTATTACATGTCTTGTGCACGTCAGGGGAGGGAGCTAAATTCTTAATGCACAGGAAAGCATCTTTTTTTTTTTTTTTTAAAGAGAGAGTGAGAGAGGAGAGAGAGAGAGAGAGAGAGAGAGAGAGAGAGAGAGAGAGAGAGAGAGAGAGAGAGAGAGAGAGAGATATTTATTTATAAGTTCTCGGCGGACACAACATCTTTGTTGGTATGTGGTGCTGAGGATCGAACCCGGGCCACACGCATGCCAGGAGAGCGCGCTACCGCTTGAGCCACATCCCCAGCCCAGGAAAGCATCTTTAAAGTCCCTCCTCCTTCTCTACCTCTTGGTGCCCCACGGATGGCAGCTGCTCCTCCCAAGACTCTCCTCTGCTCTCTCTTCTCCCCTTCCCACCACTAGCTCATCCACTCTCCCTCCCTCCCCCTTTCCTTTAGCCTGCATTTGTTTTTCTCCCCCACAGATGCTAGGTCTTTTCAGATACAGAAGCACAGCCCCTCCTTATACACATTCACACAGACACAAACCTGACCTTCCCCAGGCTCTAGTCCTTCCTTCTCCACCTCCAGGCTCTGCCTCTACGTGAACAAGGCCAGAAACAGAGTCAACCAAGACAAAATTCTCCTTAGCAGGTCGAGTAGCTGGGAAACCTGAGTAATAGACAGTAGAATTCTCTTCAGCAGAGAGAAGAGGAGGAAGTCCATGAGCACTCACAGTGGCACACACAAGGGATGGGGGGCGAGCACTGAAAGCTAATGGCACCACTCAGACCCGCTGGGCCCAGCATTAGAAAGATGCTCTGCATAACCAGGTTAGAGCTCTGCTGGACATTAATAAACCACACCACCTTGGCTTCCAAAGCCCCCCATAACACACTGCCTGGCTGTATACAATTCCACCTTAACTGGGACAAGTCATACCGAGAGGGGTATGTGCCAGATCTTGGTCTACATCAGAGAGCTCCTGGAACTTGGAGAAGTTAGCAATGATCCCAGTGCAAGAAACTGTAGGCCTCACACCACTAAAAACTTTGGAGGCAGCTCTAATGAATGGGTTCACTCCTTCATTTACCATGAACTGAGAGATGTTAGTAGCAATAAAGAAGAAGAGGGAGAAACTGATAAAGATGACCCAGCCTGTACTTTCAGGAAGCAAGCTGGCAGAATGAAAGCCATATAAGGTAAAAAGAATAGCATCTGGTAGTAAAGAGAGCTAAGAGAAGAGATAAAGGATAGCCACATGGCACAGTAGAAAGAATGCTATCACCCCCAGAAAAAGAAAGAATGCTACCCTAAATCCTGGCCCTGCTATGGATTTGCTGTGGGGCCTTGGGAAAGTTCTTGCTCCTCTCTGAACCTATTTCCATTTCTGCAAAATTAGAACACTGACATTTCACAGCTCCATGATTTTAGAGATACCTACTGTTGGGATCATAGACGGGTGAGGAAAAAGGGGCAGACAGAAGTAGGAATACAAACTATTCCAAAATGTAAATGATTACTGACACTGATTATAGGTCCAAGAAAATATTTACCGCAGCTGCAAAGCGCAGTTGTCACTCTTGGGCAGGGATCATAAGCCAGCTTCTGGATTCCTTTATCTTGATGGCATTATGTTCACACTACTTCACGCAGGCCATTTGCTTATGGGTCACACGGAAGACACATTAAAAGCAGTGAGTTCTGCCCACGGTATGAGAACCTCAGAAGGTTGCAGTTCATTCTCCCTGGTTTGCAGACAAGCAGGCAGGCTGAGTCTGACAGACGCCCAAAGTCACAAGGCTTGGCAATGGCAGAGCCAAGAGAGAAGCCCAGATTGTCTGACTCCCCACCTAACACTAAATGCCAATTAGGTCACTGTATTGGGATTCTTGCAAGGTGTGAACACATAGAAACTGCCACATAAACTTGCCTAACTCATCCAAGTAGATGGGGGAGGATTCCGAAAAGGGAAGTCCAAAGCAGCTTTTCCTTTCTCTGCCACCTTAACAAGCAAGTTGATCACTAGCCAGGGAGTTGATATCACCTGCTTTCCTGTCACMTGTACAAATTCCTGTCTCTAAGCCACACAGGGGGTGGCTCCTACTCTAGAACTGAAGATCTTAACCTGAGACCCAGCTGGAGTCCTATGCAAAGACTTCAGCGTATGTATGTATCCACAGGGAAGCCTATTAGCATCTCAATGCCTAGGTTTTTTCATCTGTAGAAAAGGAATAACAATAGTACCTATATCTCACAGGGTTACAAAAGGAATAAAAGAGGTGGAGTACATAGCATAATTCCTGTAACACAAATGTTACTTATCACTATCGGTTTTTCTGGGGAAAGAGTCAAAGCTTTTATCAGATTCTCAGAGTAGTTCATGATCCAATTAAAATTACAAATCCCTACTCTGCACCCTATCCCTGGCATGGATCTGAGGCAGTCCTATGGGCCTGGAAGCAACTCCTCTAGATTTTTTACCTCTTCAAAAGACAGATCCTTGAGGTTCTCCATACCTGCTACTCCTACAGGGAAGAAAAAAAAGAACTCTAATGAACTGCACGGAGGCAGTACAGGGTTGTATCTGTGGCTGAGCAATACTTCCCTGAGCCACTGAAGATTCAGTCTATCAGTGGGAAATTAGAGAGACCCAAATCTTAAGTTCAATTCCCACACACTCAGGAGCCACCCACTCCCACCTGGACAGGCAAGGGTGTGGGAGGGGAAGCCACTGGCACCCTGGCCAGCCCCTCCATTCCAGAAGTCACACTACCTTTCCTGATGAAGAACTGTGAAGAGTTGACTAAACACAGAGGTACAAAGAGAGGATGGGTGAGGATAAAGATGATCCAAACAGAGATCCTGGTCTGGAAAGAGCTGATTAAGGAGGGAAAGGATTAAAAGGGAAAGGGACACAAGGTGTGAAMGGAAGCACTTAAAATCTTGGCTTTTTAATCCTGGCTGCTTTCCGACTTCAATATCTTTGAAACATTACTCGATATCTCTGAGCCTCAGTTTCCCGATGAATAAATGAGGAGGAGATCATTAACAGCTGTGTCACAGAGGTGTTGTGAGGATGAAATAAGAAAATCGGCATAGCCATTTAACACAGTATCTATCTAGCACATGGTAAGGGCTCACTTGATTAATGCCAACTATTATTACCACGGTGGTGATCATGCAGATGCTGAAGGATGAAGCAGACAAAGGCTTGCAAAGTCACAAAGACAATATATTATTGGATTCTAGGTTGTTTAGACACTGGTACATTAAAAACAAAATCAAGGCAGGTTTTCAGGGAGAAACACTAGCATCAGAAGGAATATGGGACTTTGGGTCCAAAATACAGCTCTAACCACAGAACTTTAAACTTGGGTCCTGAGCCTGGGAAGCTCCACACAGGCAGCAGTGGAGGTGGAAGACACAGATGAATGCCTATCAGAAGGGCCAACTCAAACATCATGACTTTACTCCCAGTGGGAGCATCAACTCCATAAAGTAACCCAGATAACTCTAATAGGCACTTAAGGCTAGCTGTGRCCAGGTGCAGTGGTGCCCACCTGTAATCCCAGCAACTTTGGAGTCTAAGACAGGAGGATGGTGAGGTCAAGGCCAGTCTAGAGAAACCTACCAAGACCCTGTCTTAAGATAAAGTAAAACAGGCTGGAAATGGAGCTCAGTAGCTAAGCATCTCCGAGTTCAATCCCCAGTACTGCCCAAAGAAAAAAGGACTATTTTTGATGAACCAACAATAAAGGAATATATTATTACTTGATAAACACAATGTTGAGGTACATGAAATCTTTCAAAGCAAGGGATATTTAGAAGAAAAATAAATAAGTATAAAAATAGCAACACAAAAAGGACATCTTTGATGGCAAAAAAAAGGTTGGAGACATAGTTCCCATGACAGCCCTGGCTCCCAATGTCCCTAAGCTCCCATCTGTTAGCCCTCCTGTATTCTCCACCTCGTTATCCCTTTGACAGACTGAGAATGAATCTAAAAGCAACCATGCTCTTTTCCAAATAATTTTCTCTAATATAAAATACGTGTTCATCATAGAAATCTGGGAACACAAAGGAAGTGTCAGAAGAATCTCACAAATACATTCATCAGGGTTAACATGATGGTTTACTGTTGCCAATTCTCCACCCCCCGACTTTCCTAATTCATTTTTAAAGAATTAATATCTAAAGACAGCAACGATTTCTGATGATTGAGTAAAAGCCACAAGAGTCAAGAAAAGATTAGAACTGGCCGGCAAAAAAGGAGACAATGCAAATACATGTGCACACACGCAAACACCCACACACACACACACGCACACACGCACACACATACATGTTGAGGGTCTTTCCTCTCAGAGGCCTCGTAAACTTTCAATACAGGATGGTCACTGTGGCTGCTCCTGAACTAAGTTTAACTTAGAGGATCAAAAAAGAACCCCACCCACTAAAACAATGCTCTTTGAGTATCAAAAAGTCTAGCATTTCAAACAAGTACTTTTAAAAACATTTTTTAAAAACCCCAAAACTATGATGTGTTTCTTGGCACGAATCTGGGTCAATTCCTGGTAGCGTTTCAGGATAGAATTTCAAAAGATACTTTAATTATTCCTCATGTCACTGATACCATCCTATCAGACTCGAATAAATCAAAATCATAATGAAAAATAAAAATAACACTGTACCTCTCTGGAAACACACTCAGGGAAAAAAAAAAACCCACAAGTTTATACCAGCTCCTTTTACCATTGCCCCATCATTTCTAATACCGCTTATGCCAGAGAAATGGGAAGAAAAAATTTGCTGACCAGTTTCAACAAACTGTTCCTCAGGGATTTTTCCAAAGGAAGTCACAGGATGTTAGGGCAAGCAGAAGAGAAATACTAGGGCAGGTGGGAGAACATCTTACCAAGACTCAAATACACACTTAGAAGATACTTGTTGCTGATATTCACAAAACTGGTCCCCTCCCCAGCTATGTCTACACAGAGGGTGGGAACTTGGGACAGGCTGCAAGCACTTAGTAGTGAGGGATGGGTAGGCTTTGGGATCACAAGTGAGCCACCACCCTGAGCCACCACTCTAAGCCTGCTCTTAAGTATTATGCCATCCCTTCATCCAAAAGAACCAGAACCTTCCTGACATGAAATATGAACTTCTCTTGGGAGATTTCAATTACTAAAATGTATAGGTGATTTAGCACTTGATTTCAGAATTTTATTTTAAAGTTACCGGAGGTATATTCTTGAGTTGATTTTCTTCTAAAAAAATTTGAAACTCAACACCCACATATGTGGAGACATAAAAACAAAATGGGACACAAAGAAGTAAGAGGGCACCTACACCAAAACAGCTGGTGGCCCAGACTATTCTCATGATCATTGGACACTTTTGTAGAATAAAGGCTAACGACTTTTCAATGTTGCCTAAAGCTCCAGGACACCGTTTCCTAAAACTGGTTCCTGCCAGTGTTCCTAACTAATGAGTACACAATCCTAAAAGTTCACAGACTAACCAGGGACCCACTGCTGAAAATTCAAATCAGACTGAACCTAGGCCAGAAAAGCCCATGGGGAACGTTTCCTGCGTGTGCACAGCAGAGTGCAGGCTACTACTTTACCACTCGTGCCAGAACAACGGGAAGGGTGATTTGTTAACTCGTTGGTCAAAACGCACCTTCAAGGATGCTCTCATTTTTCTTAAGTGGATGAAAGTCCCACACAAGTTATCAGGGCAGCAGGAAAGAACTTTCCAAGAAGAGCCATCTGACACTGGATGGCRTGGCTTCACAGAAAAAGCTCCTCACGGCCAGAGGGAAGGACACAGCAAAGCCGCACAAACCCTGTGGCTGCCAAGTGCCCTTCCAGCTTCAAGATTCAGGGTCTTCAAGTTTCTCCCATCGCTTCCCCTCATTCCTCATGAATGAGGAAGACAGTGAGAGCCTGAAGTCCCACTGAAGTGCTTCTTCTCCAGAACACAGAAGGGCCGTAAATAGACAGGCAAGAGGCAGGAGGTGGAAGTCACAAGCCTAGAGGAAACAGGATAAGCCTGGAGGAATGGCCTATGGAAATGAACAAAGAATTCAGGGTGGGGGTGGGGGCAGAGAGCGGGAAACTCCACACTCCATCACGGTCCTCAAGCCTTAAGAGATTGGACTGCAGTAGCCCTTCTGGAAAGGTGGCACTTTTAAGACTATGTACAAATCCAAGCTGGGTCCCCAGGAGTCCACAAATCCTGGACGCCATCAGTTAAATACAAACATAAGCCTTTTATTGTTTGTTTGTTTGGTTGGTTGGGTTCCCCCCCCCCCGCCCCAATACTGGGGTTTGAACCAGGAGTATTCTACCAGAGCTTCATCCCCAGCTGCCGCCGCCGCCGCCGCCGCCGCCGTCGTCATCATCATCATCATCATCATCATCATTATTTTACTTTAAGACAAGATGTCACTAAATTGCGAGGCTGGCCTCAAACTTGTGATCCTCCTGCCTCAACCTCCCAAGATGCTGGGATTACAGAAGTGAACCATCACGCCCAGAGAGAAGATAGAGGTTGTCTTTTTGAGTGTCCTGGCGCTGAGAGCTCAATGAAGATGCCTTCTAGGGTCCCCAAGGTAACCAGAGTTCAGAAAACACTTAACTAGGGTGCAGCATTTTCTCTACACTCTACTTTTATGATAAAAACCAAGGCTTATAAAAATAAGTTCACATATGTAATTTGGCCC